TGTTTTATTTGCTCAAACTTGACCCTAATGAGATGATTGGTTGTTTGTTTTCCATTTTTGCATTTTGTTATAGCTGTATAAGTAGACAATAAACTGAAAAAATAAACTGAATATATTTTTTACTTTAAATAACTGAGTAACATTATATTCATCATATTTGTAGATTAAATGTGTGAAATCATGTGACTTCCATAGCATGAGGCCAGTTTCCAGTGTTCATTACTGACATCCAGTGAGTGCAACAGTGGCTGCATGTTACAACCAGTGAGAGTATATGTCATGTATGCACTGTTAGAAATAAAGGCTCTGTACATTTTTTTGTTCATCAAGGTACAAACAATGTAAATGTTCCTTCAAAGGTACAGCAGTGATTTTAAGGTCCAGTTGTGTACCTAAAATAAGTTTTTCCCAGGTACAAAGTGCATATTTACACCTTTTTATAACCTAATGTTTTAAAACAGAACAATAAAATAAAAAGCCTGAAGACGAGACGGGGTGCGTGGAGTCAATGCAACTTGGAATCAATGGATTATGATATAATATATTGCCAAAAGTATTCGCTCATCTGCCTTCACACGCATATGAACTTGAGGGACATCCCATTCTTAATCCATAGGGTTTTATATGATGTCGGCCCACCCTTTGCAGCTATAACAGCTTCAACTCTTCTGGGAAGGCTTTCCATAAGGTTTAGGAGTGTGTTTATGGGACTTTTTGACCGTTCTTCCAGAAGCGCATTTGTGAGGTCAGACACTGATATTGGACGAGAAGGCCTGGCTCGCAGTCTTCGCTCTAATTCATCCCAAAGGTGTTCTATCGAGTTGAGGCCAGTCAAGTTCTTCTACACCAAACTCGTTCATCCACGTCTTTATGGACCTTGCTTTGTGCACTGGTGTGCAGTCATGGGAAGGGGCCATCCCAAAACTGTTCCCACAAAGTTGGGAGCATGAAATTGACCAAAATCTCTTGGTCTACTGAAGCATTAAGAGTTGCTTTCACTGGAACTAAGGGGCCGAGCCCAACTCCTGAAAAACATCCCCACACCATAATCCCCCTCCACCAAACTTTACACTTGGCACAGTGCAGTCAGACAAGTACCGTTCTCCTGGCAACCGCCAAACCCGGACTCGTCCATCGGATTGCCAGATGGAGAAGTGTGATTCATCACTCCAGAGAACACATCTCCACTGCTCTAGAGTCCAGTGGTGGCGCTTTACAGCACTGCATTCGACGCTTTGCTTTACGCTTGGTGATGTAAGGCTTGGATGCAGCTGCTTGGCCATGGAAACCCATTCCATGAAGCTCTCTACGCTGTTCTTGAGCTAATCTGAAGACCACACGAAGTTTGGAGGTCTGTAGCGATTGACTCAGCAGAAAGTTGGCGACCTCTGTGCATTATGCGCCTCAGCATCCGCTGACCCAGCTCTGTCATTTTACGTGGGCTACCACTTCGTGGCTGAGTTGCTGTCATTCCCAATCACTTCCACTTTGTTATAATACCGCTGACAGTTGACTGTGGAATATTTAGTAGCGAGGAAATTTTACGACTGGACTTGTTGCACAGGTGGCATCCTATCATGGTACCACGCTGGAATTCACTGAGCTCCTGAGAGCGACCCACTCTTTCACAAATGTTTGTAGAAGCAGTCTGCATGCCTAGGTGCTTGGTTTTATACACCTGTGACCATGGAAGTGATTGGAACACCTGAATTCAATGATTTGGATGGGTGAGTGAATACTTTTGGCAATATAGTGTATGTTTCCTGACTAAAAGTACTGAGATGTACCCTTGAGTTTCGTACCTTTATTTCTGAGAGTGTATCATACAGTCAGTGCTTGCAACTCGGCCTCAGTTGCAGTCCTTTCACTCTCGCTTGTTATGAAGGTGGCTCTCGAGGGAAACTGTTGCTTTCCACTTTTGTTAGTTTGCTGCTAGTGGATTTATCCACAGTTCTCCTGTAATTACTGTTCAATGTAGTCTGCTGAATTACTGGTATTGCCTGGTATTATATGCTATTAGTGCTGTGTTTTGTTTGTAAATGACTTTTCACACTTGTGCTTCGGGGATAAACAGTGTCATGGTATGGCAGTAGCTGGGAATAACTTTTCACGCATTTTTATCACTTTTTAACAGAAAAAGTACAAATATCAAAAACAGTTGAAGGCCGGCATTTCAGCTATACTACTGGTAGAATATTTGGTATTTATACTGGCCCAACACATCAGTGGCCATTCCAGTTATTCCAACTACTGCAGAACCATGTACAGTCTGTAATGCCAAGTGAACTGGGTAATCCATGCCATGGCTTGCCTTTGAGATTGCAAACAATGCCAATAAAATACTCATGATAACTTATTGGATGAGAATGCATTATAAAGCAATGCTGTTCGTTCATTTCATTTACTTTAATGAAATTGAAAAGCATCCAAAATCATGACAGACCATCCAAAATTTTGTCCAGAGCATTTTTTCCCTGCTGAATCCAACTAGAATCCACCCAGTTTGGCAAGAAGCCACTCAATCTGGCAACACTGGCAGTCACAGAGCAAGTGAGCAGCTGGGCTTTAGGGTGGGACTACGGATCACCAAATAATCAGTATATTACTGGATTACTGTTGATTACTAATAACATTAATATGGATAGCTTAATATTATTACAATTATTGTATCAATTTGATTTTGCCTAGTCCTCGTATGTTTTACTACACTACTCTCACTCCAGTCCTGCTCACTGTGAATCATTAATTCATGCCTTGTCATACGCCAAGAGCTCATTCAGACAGACTAGCCTGAATGATCGTTATGTAACAATTATGACAATTTATAATAATTCATAACAGTAAAGCAACAGCAAAGTTGTGAATAGCGTGTTGCATTTTGATTTAAGGATTGCTGTTGCCTTATTGCCTGAACAGCCTCCCAGATTACTGATGCTGCTAGAGATAAGCTGCTTGCATTGATGCACAAATATCATTACAATCAAGTCAGTTTGGGCGAATATTTAGGTGCTTTTTCCTCATAGCCAGCCTGATGCGCTCTAACACTGCATTCGCTGATGTTTCCCAGAAACTGACAACCTTTTTCTGACTCTTTTGAGTTATAATTACTTACTTTCGTATATTATACTTATTAGTGCATAATATACGTTAGAAATTAGAAATACACAATTAACGCTACTTGCACTGAGACAAAGGCAGAATTAAATATGTCTGCTTTGTTTTTCCATTTATTGCAGATACATTTAATCATTCAAACCAAAAGCTAATCTCTCAAGCAGAAGATTAGGAGCTGTTGGTTTTGCATTTTGATTCACATTCTGCGTTCATTTTTCTTTTTGCTTCTCTGGGTTAACAAGATTAAACTGTAAGCATCATCAAGCTATTTGTCGATTAGTGGGGGTCTGAGGTTTGTGAGGTGAGCTGATGCTCTGTTGTTGTTTGGCGAATAAGCATAGGCCTCCACAGTCTGTTGATTCAACTTTTTGGGGGCTACACTTACGCTGTCAAAGTGCTTGACAGTAACAGCGAGTGAAGTGCAGTGCTGAGGGGTCTGTCGGAGAGCGTAATGGCTGAGTGGATGGAGAGAAATTGGATAAAAGGCTGCAGTAAATGAGTGGTGGGTGTGGTCAAAAGCCACCACGACACTTTGAGCACATTTATGCGTTTTAATTTGCAATTACATCCAGCACATTAGCTGGGCAGAGTAAATGTTATGGAGATGTGAGTAAATAAATTCAGAATGAAAGATGGTCTATGGATGAAAACTTCAAGCTGCCTGAGATAAAATTCAAGATCATATATTCTAAATATCACAGCATCCTGAGTACAATATGTGTTGAAAGAATGCCTTATAGCCCTAATATTGCTTTGACTGGACTATTTTAGTCTGTTTTTGGTTCACCAGTGGGAACCTTATGTTCTGCATCTCTACGCAAAGTTTTATGACTTGCATAAAGATGTTTACATCTCTCAACTTTGAACATGCTAAAGGCTAAAGGCTGACCATAGCGACATGTCATGTACAACCCAGGCTTAAAGCCATAAGCCAACAGTTAAAGCAGAAAGTTTGTTTAGTTTTATATACCAGTAGTATGTGAAAAACGCCACAGTAACATGTGTTGTGCATTCTACCAGCGCCGCTCATGGCCACCTCAAAGCAAGCAAGCTCAATGACTCGAAGCATAATAGCTATGCACTCACATTTCAAAGTAGTTTAGCTGTGCTTTGATGAAAGGCTGGTATCTTAAATGCAATTGAAACATCACAATTGCAGAACTTTTTCCAGTATACCAGTCCAGGCAGTATATTGCCATAGACATACAGTTGTACACAAATGTCCTAGGACAAATTACGCTTTGCTGATTTTCTCAGTGAAAATAAGTTAACACATCCTTTACAAGGAACAAATTTAAACATGGCATTTTTTTTGCCAATTTTAAAGCACAATTTTTATTTATTTGCTGCATTTAACATTTTTGGGGAAAAAATAAAATATAACGTATGCCGTGACGTTTGCCTTTGTCCCAATATGCTACACTCAGCAAATAAACAGTAAACAATTGTGGATCAATTTTTTTTTTTATTTGCAGAGCACAACATCGGATCTTTTGTAATATAACATATTTCTTTTGAATATTTTTTGTTTTATTTGGTTTCTATCATTATAATAATGCTAATTTTTGATAGCATCCCTATGGAAATCTGTATATAATGCTAAGCACCAAGCTAATTGCGGTGTACTTGTGCGTCTTGCCGCAGCCCATAAATTGTGTATTGTTTCAGTAAAATGCAGTACATTACAGCATTTTTGTTCTCTGTGTTTATGTTTACATTGCGTCCATTACATTGCAGCATGCCAGCTAAGTGGCTTAGCTCAACTGTGTATATAGTGATGTCATCAGCAATATAGCTCTCTCTATACATCAATGTATATCACCCTACATTATATGCCAGTATGATATATTGGGACTGACACATTCCTACTTCTCTCTCTGTTACAGATGACCCTTTGAGAGGACCTGATCTTCTGGCCACTGCAGCCTCTTTTAGGACCAATTCAAGTCTCTTCCAGTCTGAGATTATGCGCCCTGCCAATGACCCCAAAGAGCGTGACCCTTCTCACGTGCGCATGCTGAACGACGTGCTGCAAGACCTGGAGAAAAGCTTCCTTGTTCCAAGCCCACCTCCAGGCTTTTCACGGTAAGCTGTAGCCAGGAAAGATGTGCCGATAACATTCAGCAACAAGCTCCTACTGATTGTTGCTTACTGAGCTTCACTTCAATAATATGCAATTTCTTTACCTGTCTTTTTGCACCATGTCAGTCCTCCATGCACTATTTTATTCATAAAGGCATGTAAGTTTCAAAGGCAGCGGAGGAGAGAAAGGTTGGGGGAAAATGTTTGATATGCTTAGATATAGTTAGATAATCAATAATTGATTCACTGAGCTGTACAGTAACTGAATGCTTTTAGAAGGAGCAGACGTAACGGTGGTGTATGCATCAAATGAGGTAGTATGACATTAAAGGATTTTGATGGGCACATAGTCATGCAGCAGCCTGGCACAGAGTTACTGTCTATCATAGCAGTTTCTGTATGTTGATCCAGAGCTTTCAAATAAGTCACTTCTTAGTTTGATCACAATGTGACATCGACGCCATTCATCTATCAATCTGCACACTCTGGTGAGCTCTGAAGTTCTGATTATTTACAACTTCTTGGACTTTAATTACATTTTAGACTTGCTTTTTTGACTGAATTTTCTTGCTCAATATGATGTCTGACAAGGGCTCTTTTTGGCTTCATGTTGTTAAATTGCCACAACTAATTCTCAACTCAGACAGGATCTTTCAAGTTCTTGTTAGAAAATGAATGATGACATTACTTCCCTGTGGTCTATTGTGGGTGACTACTCAAGGCTGCAGAGACAGAGATGCCAATTTGCATTTCTGTCAAATGTATTCACTCCAGACAAGACTGCCAGTGAGAAAGCCTTGCCTTGAATATTTCATTTTCTCTCTTTCCCACTTACTTTCAGCTTTGCATTCTTATTCTACTTTCATCTGTATATAGTGGAAAATAAGCTATATATTTTTCCAGTCTTTCTCGACTTAGACAGCCAACATTATTTTACAATCATTATTTAGCACACAAACACACACACACACACACACACACATATATATATTTTATATTTTATATATAAAAGGCTTTTATCTTATATATCAGTCTTCATGTCCATATTCACACTGTATACATGACATGTTTATTCTACATACATTACCACTAGTCATACAGTATATTCAGCAACAGAAAAAAAGCTGAAAACGTACCTAACGGAAAGTACACAGAAGCCTCAACAACTAAATATAATTACAAATTTTTAACATATACTTAATAATTATTTAACATGCCCACCTTTTGTCTTCATTACAGTTTTCATTCTTTTTGGGAAAGTTTTTTTGTAAAATATTTTTACATCCTTCTTGTAAATTCCTGCATAATTCAGTCTTAGAAGTCGGTTGCCTTTTCTGCTCCTCACGATCCAAGAAATCCCACATTTTGACTCATCAGTCCATAAAACATTATGTTCCAGTCCATAAAATATTTCTCAGATGTCCAGTTTCTGTGTTCTAGTGTAAATTTTCTTCTTTTTGTCTATTTCCTCTTCTTCTCATTTCTTCGCATGGACAGAAACACCTGTGGATATTTTTAAATATGAAGTAAAAGTGGAGCTTGATGTTCTCCTGTCTTTCAAAGTTGAAAGCTTTACGTACTGTCAATCTGATGGTGACATCAGATGGGGAACGTCTTTTGTTGGGAGGATACAGCTGTAAGGTTTTCGGAAGGGTGGAAGGGTTGTGCACAAAAGTAAGGAGTGGACAAATACTGATAGATTTGCTATAATTTTCTGTTAAATATCATGTTTCCTGATTTTTTGACACAAAAAAAGAATAACTTATGTTTACTGACTGTACCAACTGGAAATTAATTAAATGGAAGGGTGGTCTCTGACTTTTGCATAGTGGAAGGCTGCCTCTTCAGATACCGAATGGGCTGATTAGAAATCCATGATCGTGCTTTTTGTTGTAATTTCTACTACCAAGAGAACAATATCATTTTTTCCCTTATAAAAGGCTACCAAGTGTACCAAACAGGATGTGTCAGTGGAGCTAGAAATATCGATCGGTCACATACAATCGTTAAAGAATCGACACATGCCATCATTAAGTCAGATGACAACCAGTTCTGTGGCATTTCATATTAAAAAAGGCAGAATTAAATTTATATCACAACTTAAAGCTCTCTCGTTGTTGGTACTGCTGTTGTTTATTGTTAACACTAAATTTACATGAGAAACCATGTGACCACTACACCACCTCCAATGAACTCCACTTTCACAGTTGTGTTGTTCGATGGCAAATGGACAGTACTTGACCAGTACAACCCTGTCAACTAGTGTAGGGTTAGTTCTAATTAAAGAACAAATTCCATACATAAGCAGGCTTTGTAACACCAAGACCTGTCTTATATTTTCCATGATATACCAAGGCCTTCATCTCCAGATGTCACATTATATGTATATAAGTGCAACAATGGAGTGGTTCTACCTCTTCAGAGCACTCTCTGCACACACCTGTCTGTGAACAGCTGTTCTCACTCTGTTAGTATATAAGCACCCTTGCAACACTGACCTTTGCTTTGTCTTCATATAGAGTCAGCGTCTGAGCCTGAGTATTCATTTGTGATTTATGTGTTTTTTGACCCAGGCCTCTGCTTGGTTTGTTGCTTATAAAATGGGAATTCCACTGTTGTTTAAAAATGCCTGCATAATTCAATTGTTGAGATGTGAACAATGTCATTCAGAATGGTTTGATCTGAAATGGTGCATTGTAAACAGTTTTAAAATTATGGTGATTGGAACCAGGGTTTGCAATGTCTACAGCGCAAGTATAGCCATTCTACTTTCTATACAAAATGACTGGTGAACTTACAGGTCTTCTAAGTTTTATATGTAATGTTGATAATGGTAAAATAGTGGTAAATATGTTAAAAAATAAGTTTTCTTTTGGGACTGTTTTGCCTTACAATGCCCGGCAAGTACCTCTCTGTCATAAGACAATATCTCAGGCATTAGGCAAAGTATTGGTTACCATTTAATAACTTTCTGTGAGTGGGCTTTTAATGTCGTTGAACTTTTCAGACATCTGGATCTCATCACCACCAGTGTGAAAATTTGGACTCTGTAAGTCTCTCTAGAGTGGCACATTTCACATCAAACCACTCTGAATGACTTTGTTTACATCTTAACTATTTAATTATTTAGATTACAAAAAAAAAAGGAAATCACCTTCAAAGCTGTGCATATTGGTGCTGCTCTCTACTGGTACCAGGTGCAGATTAAAACTGGGTCCAGTTGCAACCAATAAAACATAGTGCAGAGATACATTACCTTCTGTTTCGGAAATGTTATTATTTTTGAACAGTCTGTTGGAACCACTTGGATTAACTCAGTTATCCCAGGTGGCAGTGAGTAGAGATAGTGAAGAAGAGATTTGCTTTTCTGTTTGTAGTTGCCTCCTAATCCAGGATAGGCCTGTTCTGTGTCTGGGGAATCGCCCCACAGTGTTTAATGCCAGGAGCAGAGAAGGTCAAGTACATAAATGCTCAGTTAAAAGGAAAAATGATTCTCTCGAGTTCCACCATAGGTAAACTTTGGAAGTTGTTTACTTGCCTTGATATTCTAGCTGGAATAGCTTTCTGTTTGTAAATTACTAAGGTAATAATTTTTTTTATGTAGCACTTTTTATTTTAGTTACAAAATCTCAAAGGCTTTTACACAGAAATATGGATGAAATATTAGTAAAGTAAAACAGCACAAACACAAGAAACAGGCAAGAAATAAGCCACAATGTTGCAGGCTAATACTATATTAAATCAATCTGATATAATCTGGATTTAAAAACACTTACCTAGCTTGCATTCCTGATTTTCTCTGGAATGCTGTTCCTGGGTTTAGCTTTATGAGCTTTTATGAGCTTTATGAGAAAATGATCTTCCATCAAGTTATCCTAAGAGTTAGAACTAGGTCATTGAGGGCTTTTAGTTAGTCAGATCTTTTTAGTTAGCAAGATCTTGTAGTTAGTGTGAAACTTAACAGGAGGACAGTGTAAACTGAATAAACACACTGGCTGCCTCATTCTGAACTAGTTGAAGCCTGTGTAGAGATACAGTATGGCAACCAGCCAGTAACACATCACAGTAGTGTAATCTACTTGTTATAAAAGCATGACCTAATTTCTCAGCGTCTTCCAGGGTTATTATGAGTCTCACGTACTGAAATACAGTTTTAGAGGTATTGCTGAAAAGGGGGCCCAAATGATAAACTAGCATTCAGTGTTACTCCAAGGTCTTTATCTGTAGCATTGGTTGCAGTGAAAAAAACCTTCATGGACATTCCAGTCAAGGATAAATTCTGCAGCCTAATCTAACCTAGCCTTAAGATTAATGACTCAACTTGATCAAATAAATCAATAAATTATTTGAAACTTAAAAACTGAAAAAAGCAATACTTTTTCATTTATTATAAAAACAGAGTTTGTTTTATATAACTGAAATCTTTAATTCCAAACTTTTGAACTGTGATTGCAAACTTTGTATTTGTATTCCAAAGATCTGTGGAGTAACTTTGAAAAGTATTAGAAACTGATTTAGGTGACTGGATTGGTTACTGTACACTACTGTTCAAAAGCTTGTAATCACATGCCATATTATATTTATTGTTATGTTATTTAATAATACCCTTACATAAAGTAGACTGAAATGTTCATATACTAGACAGCAAAATGTATTGTTTTATTCAATATATTCTTTTTTTTTTTTTGGAACAATAAGTTAAATACAGAATACAATGTAATTATATTTATTTATTAATATTTAGTATCAATGTAATTATATTTTAAATTTATTGTTACCTATCTTGAAATTTGATCAATACTTTTCAATATAAAGCTTTCTGCATATTAAGTTTATTACTTTGTTTCTGTTAATATATATTTAGTAATACAAGGCATTCCTGATATTAATTGTATTAGTTTTCATGACTTCATTCTCAGTGCTTTAGAGCTTTCTGTATCATTTTATAATCATCATACAGCTCATGCAAAGTGTCTTAATGTATTACAGCTTCCTGCAAATTA